TGACTGGCCGATGCTCCCAGTCCAAGTGTGGGTGGCACTACCTACTTGGATATCAGACGTGGCTCAACGGAACCTTGCTCTAAGCCTATGGCTAGAGCACCCAAAGGCGGAAGGCGGGGAGAGTACCCAGGTGGCTCGCGTAAAGCCACGGTGTTCCGAAGTGTTGTCCCAAAGTCCCAGACTGTGGAAAGGAAAAGGAGCAGTCCTTTGGTGTGGTGGCCAAGGATACAGTCACGTGGTGAGGAAGTCCCAGAGGACCATGGGACTTAGTGGTCAGGCCTGTGGGCCTCGATCCAGTGGCAGTGTTGGCAAACACGGCCAAGGGCAGAAAGGGACTTAATGGGGACAGACAGAGGGATATTGGGGAAGGCTATTCCCCTTGTCAGTGGGCATCCGAAGGATGCTAAGGAGTGGATCTGGGATAACCACTCACGGATGGTTGGCCCAGTCTTAGAGAGACAAGACTGTGGTGCAAGTGGTATTGGACTACCAGTGCAGCAAAGGGGATTGGGCATGGCCTTAGCGTAACAGGCTGCTATGTCGGTGGTACCTTTGAGTGTCGATCATGGGATCGGACACGTGGAGCACTTGGACCAGATGCAAGGGTGGAGTGGCATGGATGCCACTCTTGGGGCTAGCAAGTCCCAAGTCCTGAATTGGACCTATGGAGGTTGTGAATAAGACTCCTTCAAGTGGTCGGAGGTGTGGTCAAGTGACTAAAGTAGAATGAAAAATTTAGTCGCTTACAGTGGCACCCTTTCGGCTCCACTTTGGGGCTTAGGGATTTGTGTCTCACAAGCGGGGCTCTTAGGAGAGCTACAGCTCTCAGCTTCCATTCACGAGGGCGTGACCTTGTAAAGAAGCATGGTGGATTGTAAGCAACCAAAGGGAATGACTCAAGGACAATCCATAGGGTTCAAATATAAAGGGAAAAGGCCTATGAACAAAATTACACCCCTTTTTCCAATTGGTTAAGGGTTTTGGGATATTTGGGGTTAAATGTTTTTGGGTTTGAATAGTATTGGGTTAGATGACCTCTTAAAAAGTCTAAATTCAGGAACTTACAATGTTTATGAGTAGTATCTGCCATAGCTATGGATTTTTTTACTTTTTCCCAAAGCATGGAACTTATACTTAGAGCATATATCCATTTTATCTCTTTGTGTATTAACTCTACTTTTATAAGGAATTCCCCAAGTTGTATATATTTTATCATGCAATCCCTAAAGAGGTTGAATACTAGGTAAGCTCGCTGGATAGTCAAACTCATGGAGTTTGGGGAGTTTCTTATTAAGCATCATTTGGGAAAATCAAATATAGTGGTCAAGGACACTTTATCTCGTGCTTGTCATATGACAGTATTATAAATACAATTTTGTCATCATTTGAGTAAGGTGGTCAACAAGTTTGGGCAATTGGTTAAGTGTGCCTAAGCTCAGGATACTGAGGTAGTTTCTAGATGGAAGCATTTTTCTCATTGATAGATTGGATTCTTTACAACAATAGTCATGGATATTTGCCTATAGGTGGATGCATTAATTACTCAAGTTTTTCATTATCATGATTGTCTAGAGGCTAGTCATTTTGGGGGGAAGAAGAAATATAAGTTGATTAAGCTCAATTTTTATTGGAGGAATATGAATGCTGATATTTTTAAGTATTGTAAATCATATAAACTTTGTCAACGAGTAAATGCGCCATAGGAGAAGCTAGGGGGTCTTTTGCAACCTTTATCTATTCTTTAGAGTTATTAATGTAGTATCTTTATAGATTTCATCACTTGTTTGTTATGAATACAAAAGCAAAAGGAGCAAATATGGGTCATAATAGATCATTTAATGAAATATATACAATTGTTAACCTTTCGGAAAATTGTCATTGTTTCATACTTGATTGCAGTTTACTTAGAAAAGGTTTTTCTTAATTTTGGTTTGCCAAAGAATATCATTAGTGATCAAGATTCAAAGTTCACTAATGGATTTTAAAAGATTTTTGCAAAGATTATACAAGTGACTTTGAAATTCTTAAGCGGAGATCATCTTTAGACAGATGGGCAAACAAAGTATGTGAATCAGATGGTGGAAGATTATAAGCAACTATCATAATTTAGATTTCTAGTTTGAGAGAGCATAACATTTAAGTCTCTAGAATATTCTTTCATGGCTTTTTTCTCTTATGCTTAAGCTTGGAATTATAAGCATGGAATTGCGGGCATGTGAGTGTATGTTTGAGGGTGTGAAACGGTGGTTAAGGCTAAAAAATGCCTTAATTATACCTAAATATCAAACATTTCTTTGAAGAAATCTTGAGGATGACTTGTTATGTTTATATATAATATTAATCTCTATCTAAGCAACAAATAAAAGTTCAATTCATAATTGTCTAAAAGATTTTATGTTTCTCATCAATCCACTAGCTTCATGAGTTCTAGAGTAGTAAACAAGACTTTTTAAAAGCATAAATGTTTGGACATTGAGTGATAACATTTTAATGGTGAGTTCTTTAGTTTCCATCTATGCAGAAGGAAAAAGGTCCTCAGTAAAATTTTTGTTACAAAGAAGCTTTCAAATGATTTAGAAAAAAGTGACTATTTACTTTTCTTCCTTCTCCATAAACCCTAGACGCTTGCAAGGAAATGGCGGGAAAAACATGAAAATGAAAATCCAAGATTAGGGTTTAGGGCAATCCAGAGCTCCGCGCAAGATGAAATGCCGGGGATACCTCCAGATCGTCGTCAAGCTCCTGTTCCTCATCGGGCTAGGTATGATCCAATGTGGATGCTTTATCGACTGCTGTTGTTCGTGTAGGTGCAATCCTCTATACAATGTGGATGATCGATCAGCTCCTGAAGCACGGGGACAACGATGGATGCAGTCCGATTTCTCGATCTGATCTGCTTCGAGTGATAGCGCTGGAGTTCTCTCTCCCCGTTCCATGGTATATAATTTTTATTGCTTGTTTTATGATTTTAATCGTGTGGTGTTTTTTTCTATAGGTTTGAGTATGTTTTCATGGGAGTGGGAATTTGCCTGTGCTTAATTGGATGCGTTGGGGCCCAAGCTCTGAGAGGCCGCTGCCTGTGCTGCGTAAGTCCCATTTCGTTTCTAATATCTTTAAGTCAACTATCGTTACTTGGACTTTTTACCAGTCGTCTATAGTCTTTGTAAGTTTACTCTTGCTTCAATCGTCTCTTGTGGCCTTCATTTTCTTTGACAAGTCATGGGAACAGGTAACTATCTTGTCCAGCCTTTTCCCTTGTTCTTATGGCTCGTTTATATCCAGGACTTGCCAAATGATCCCATGGGTGAAATCGACAACATCAGAAAGTTTGTGGAGCAAAATGCCAAGTTATGCAAGTGGATTGCTCTGATCGTTATAAGTTTTGAGGTGAGGATCCTCTCGTTTCTTTTCCTCTTAAGAGAGTGTCTTTCTGCAGATTCTCTGCCTACTATGCAGCATGATTTTCGACGCTATCAGTGCTCGCCAATTCGCCTTGGGGTCTTGTATAGCGGCCATCGTCATGCCGAAGGGGCTTGTCCTCTGCAGCGAGTCACTAGCATCGTTCCCTGACCCGGCAAAATCAGTTAAACGAGCAGTTAAGTTTAGGCTTGTATCGGAGGAGCACAAGGTGTTTGTGGGGATCGCTGGAAAGTGGAAGTGGGGTCAGAGATTGTTTCCAAGGCTGCATGAAGTAGTGGAGAGTGAGCATTTCGACAAAGCAGATCCTTATGGGAGCATGAGCAGGGGAGCTCAAGCTGTGATGGTGGAGCTGTTGCAAGAGACGCACGTGGAAAGGAAGGGAGGCAGTTTTGAGGTAGCAGCAATAGTCACCGCAAGGAAGCTCGACGGAACCATTGGAGCGTTCGTGATCCATCACACAGGAGCAATACAGGAAGGGCCTCTGCTCTCTATCGGTTGTGGCAGCAAATATTGGTACGAATTCGTCGAGGAGAACAAGGGACGGCTTGACAGTGATGTCGGATGTGTCAGCGTTGCTCTGCTTGGTGTTCTGGAGGCTTGCAAGAAAGCTCCACGGACTTGTGGCGGAGATATCCTTTTCTGCTCTGTCATAGGATCCACAGGTGAGCTACACGATGGTGTTTTTAGCTCGGTGTACGATGAAGTGTATGCTGTGACAGACTCCATGCTGGTTAAGATGACTGTTTGCTAAAGTGGGAAAGAATCAAGGTAGTACAACATATAACGGACGTTTGTGGATAACATGCTTCAGGACTTGCTCTCGCTTGGCACTGCCCGAAAATTTTGCTCTAGTGCCAATCAGTTCGTCTCTCAAGCTAGGAGTCTTCCTTAGGGCCTTCGATCGTGTCGAAACAGGTGCTAAAGCTTCAATTCTTACGTAAAGTCTTCTGCAGGACCGCTTCCTTGGCTGCTCGAGAGGAGATAATGAACCAATCACGATCAGATCTTATGCCGATGTCAGTGTTTGCCGTTGATAAGATTCCATCAGCTGCCGTGGATTGGTGGGAAGCTCAGCAAGTTGGAATGTTAACATGATCTTATTTCTCAGCTGGAAGCTTGTGTTGTGGTGCGTAGTAGCTACTAAAATGCCTTTGGACTCTCATTGCTTTATGTCATAGGAAGGCGGAAAGCCCATAAACTTTTCGGTGGACAATGGTTTAACTCCAATTTTCCATGTAGAGCGGCCGTAAGTTGAGCACCAGCATCTTTCCGCCGTGTAAGCTCAGCAGCCTCAGCCTCTTTAACAGGCTCCCTGGATCATCCATGGCTTTTGGCTCCACCGGAAGTGCTTGTTTGCAACATTGATCTCCGTGGACCCGCTGAGTCCACCTGTGCTGATCAGCTCAAATAAGACCATCAGGCCACTAAAGTATTTTCGATAGCTGTGTTAAACGAAATTTCTTGTCTCTTTTTATTACTGATCACCCAGCACGAAAAGCTAAAAGCAATCAAAGGAAACAATTAGTCGTCAAAGGGACTAGAAAACTTTCTCTATCCAACGGCTCACAGTACGCCAGCAAAGCGGAAGTTTTCCCTGAAGCTATAACGTTAGGGCAATTCGGCAATAGGGCCATGGAGGTGCAGGCGAAGGACGCAGTGAGGAGGTTATTTGCGCGAGCGCAAGACACCTCTTTTCACCCTCTTCCAAACGACTCGGATCTACAAGTTGGGCAGCTACAGGTCTCCTGATTTTTGCCTTTTCCTCATCTCAGATTGACTGGTTTTCTATGATCAGGCTGATAAACGTGGGAACAAATTCTGCCTTGTTACCGACACCAGGTTTGTTTGACTCTCTCTGTCTATCTCTCTCGCTTTAATAAAAAGAGAATTGTGTGTAAGCAGGAAGATTCGTATGATACGGGTCATCTGGAGGTTCTATCCACCCAACGCGGACGGGGTGCTGCTCGTGCTGGGAATAATGGATTGCGAGATTCCGGGAATGGTCAGGGTCGCTTACCTGATCGATGATCCCGAGCCGCTTCTTCGTCCCAAAGTTCGATTTTCGGAGACATGCATCCCCGACGTGGATGCGTTTGTAGCTCGCATCTGGCATCGCGATCAGAGTGTGGTGAACCATGCGCAGGTCAAGGACGGTGTGAGGAGGCTGTTTCGAGCTACCGTTACCCGACACCTCCCGCCTCCAGGCGATTCGGATCTTCAAGTTGGAGAGCCACAGGTATGGCGTGAGAGTTTGGAAATCAGGAAGGTTTTTAGTTTTTCGTTCACTGTTTCAGGAGGACAAAACTGGCAACAAGTTCTGCAAGGTTACGGACGTTCGGTATCTTTTCTTTCCTCTTTTTCTTTCTTGTTTAGAGACCTGGCCTTTCCTAGGAACATCGCGCCGGCGGTGACTTGGAGGTTCTATCCGCCCAACGACGAGGACATCCTGATGGTGATTGGAATAGTGGAGGGCACCGTCATTCGGGGAAGGCAGATGATGGCATTTCTGGTTGAGGATCCAGACCCGCTAATTAAGTGGGAGGATCCACCCGGTGTTTACAAAGGAAACACATGCGTCCCTGACGTGGACGAGTTTGCAGCTAAAATTTGGCATCGAGATCTCAGTGACGATTGCGAGTTTCACTAGAAGCAGCCCTGCAAGTTGTTTTGCCTGTACTTGGTTACATGCGTCTGTTATGGTTAATAAAAGTTGATAATAAAATTATTACTAGATACTTTGATCATCAATTTGTGTTATTCAAATGCACAAAGTCATGACATGGTTAATATAGCTCTTAGGAAGGAAATCTATACTGACTTAAGCACAAGGAGTTTACCAACTATTTATTAGTAAAAGCACATGTGATTATGGCATAAACTGCTTAGCCCTTGCTCATTATTGTTTGGGAATTCCACCTTAAGGAACATGGTGAATGGTTTGGATGTATTTTATGAGCTAATTCTTGCTCCATGATGTATTTTATGAAGTAATTCTTGCTCTATAAGCTTGAAAAACACTTTTGTCAATGTTTTAAGACAATTGGAAGTTGAGTAAACAATTTACTTGAGTTTATCCATATTGATATTTGTGGTTTAGTGCAAGCTCTATCCTTCAAGAACATTAAGTATTTTCTGACTTTCATAGATGATCTTAGAAGAAGAAATCTGATTTCTTTGATTGTTTTATAGATTGGAAAGCCTTGGTCTAAAACTATATTAGTTATCAAATCAAGACATTAACATGACCAATGGTGTTAAACTTGTGAATCATGCTTTCAATAGCATTTGTTCCCAAAAACTCAATTATCAAAAAATTATATTAAAATCTAGTGCCAGTTTATATACAACCCAACATAATGGGGTGGCAGAGTGCAAGATTCATACCATTATGGACCTTCTCTAACACTTCACAAAAGTTCTAGGTAGAAACAATTAAGTATGTTATTTTTCAGAATTCCATGGCAGAGTGCTTAAATTGTGATGCCCTAGTGCAATCCATCACTTGTGCAGCCAGCAAAATACTCGCAGTGCTAGGTGCTTAGCTATATATATGATGAACAGCCCCAAAAGAACTAATGTTTTTACATAAGAGGGTTTACGATAAAGAAAAAAAACTTCTGTGCTTGTTATGCAAGTTTAACATATTATGAGTGCATTGAATATGGAAAGAGAATACAAGAATTAACCCAAAATCTTTAGCTTATATACATGAGCGAATGGTCTAGATTGAAACCAATCTGATAGCTACCAAAATCCCATTATACTAATACTAACATTTGGCATTGTAGTTATACACTTAGACTTCACATTATCCCTTCCTCTCAGAATGATGGAGGACTGTGAGGGTTCTCTCGTGGATAAGCTGGGAACTGAAGGAACATTAGAAGGAGGCATCTATGGATCTATAGGTGGTGTCAATTGTTCTTGACCCCTTTGTACGAAACATTTCAGCTGTTGCACATGCACAATTTCTAGAGGATCAGCTTGTTAGACATCATGCCAAACCTCATAAACTTGCAGTCCAACTTGCCACAACACCTGATATAGTCCTTTCCATTGAGCAAAGAGCCCCTTAAATAAACCACATATTATAAGATGGGGAAAACAAATTATTTTATACTCCACAAGTGGACAATTATGGGAGTTGTAACACTGTTGTTGTCCCATTTGTATGCAGTTCAGGTGTTTGACAAACTCTGCTCGGACAAGTGGAAGAATGCTTGTTAAATATTTAACCTAGTATTAGTAGCTTGTAGCAATCATGAAGATAAACCCAACTCTGTTGGCAATATTAGATCATGACCACATAAAATTTATATGGAGAAGCACCAATTGAATTCTACACCTCTGTGACATATACATACCAAAGAGATGGCAAATAATCATCCTAATCCGAATATTGAAAATTCACGTACTTTGCAATCGTCTTTTTGGAGGTCTAAATGAGTTGTTCCACCATACTATTTAACTGCAGATGATAAGCACTTGTAAAATTGTGGCGTATCCCCAACTGAGATGTCAAAACGTGAAATGCCTCAGTTATAAATGCAGGACCATTATCCGAAAGAATCCGCTTCGGACAAGAATGCTAGAAGTTAAAAGCAATAATGACATACTTATTACCAACAGTCAATTATGGAAAAGGTCCCATCAAATCAAATGCCACTAACTCAAACGAATGGGAAATTGTAATTAATTCCAACCATCCTTCCATAGCATGAGGGGGAGTAATAGGAGCTTGGCACCAAACGCAATTATGTATATACTGGATAACATTACAGTGCATTTCTGGCTAATAGAAAGGTGTACATAACTTCTCAATCAAGTGACAATGTCTTATTGTAAGCCACAAATTTTTCCTTTCCAATTTGCCAGCTTACCTCGCCTATCCGACCAACTCCGCCTTGGCTTGTGCTAAGTTCCCTCGCCAAGGTTCTCGCTTATGGTGCCAGCTCCTACTTGGTTTCAACTACTTACTGCACGAGCAACGGAGTGTTAGCCATCCATCTACGGATTCCCAAATCTCTCCCAATCCCCCTCCCCGGGTTAGACTGGACTTAAGGTTCGGCTACACTCCCCGCAGGCACAAGCAACCAAGCACACCAAGCCTCCAGATTCCTAACACCCCAAGGTATCACAAGGCTTGATCATGGGACCCTCTAAATCCCAAGCCTTGGGAGCAGCACTTGCTTCGGGACGTCGGGGCGAAACACCGTGGCCTAACGGCCCGGTATGGGTACCTCTACCCCCCCTCTTCCATCCCGAAGGAAAGGCCCAAGCCCCCGGAAGGGCGAGGACCAATGAGCCACAAGGTACTCAAGTGGGGCACCACTCCACCTGAGCCGGGAGCACCGCAATCGGTTTCCCTTTCGGGAGTGGGAGCTGCTCTTGAGCACTTCCTTGGATGGCCCCTCCGGCACCAGCCAAGTCCATGCTCACTCCCACCCAAGGCCCCTCGGTCCCAGTCCCAACCTCAAGTCGGTTTGGAAGCCCAACTGGAGAGTCCCTTCTAAACTGGTTCCTGGACCTCACTATCCCTACTATACTTTTGGAACCCCCTGCAGCCCCCCCCCCCTGGGAGACGCACGCTTTGGGCTTTCACCCCTTGACCCGTATTAGTATTTGGACTTAGTCTCTGGCTCGATCTCGGACCCGATTTCGGATCCGACTTCGGATTCGGGTTCGGACTCGATCACAGACTCGATCTCGGACCCGACCTCGGACCCGACCTCGGACTCGACCTCGGACTCGGTCTCGGACCCGATTTCGGATCCAGACTCTGTCTCGAACTCGGTCTCGAACTCGGACTCGAACTCGGTCCCCGAGTCGGTCTCGGACTCGATTCCGGACTCTATCTCGAACTCGGTCCTAGAGTCGGTCTTGGACTCGATCCTCGACTTGGTCCCATCCGATGAACTCTTTGTCATTTCGGTCAAGCTTTTGGGGATCCTTTAGCCTACGACATCTCGGGGAGTCGGTTCCTTACAACTCCACCACCCATAGAAGAAGTTCGATGCCCACATCGAACGTCTCGTTTTATCCTACGACTTGTTGTCCATGTCTCCGGGGGCATCCCCCCACTTAGCGGTGTGCCTAAGTTAGCCTCCCCGGCCAAGAGCCCATGACAACGGAATATAGGTGTCCCTATATTCCTCACTTCACCACGCCCTAGTATAGGGTCGGGACTTGAACCCAGCCTTGCTTTACTAGGGGGTTGGGACTCGAACCCAACCTCCGTAGAATACGTCTACGGATTCGACATCCCCGCGGGGAGTCGGGCGTAGTGCCCTACGCCTGGTCGACCTATCCAACCCATGCTAATTAGCTTACCTTTGGCGCGCCTTCGGGTCCCAACATATGCCATTTGCTCAACTTTGCAAATTGATATTTTTAATTGAATTTTGCATAAGTACATAAAGTTCTGCCTTGCAGAAATTCCTCCACTAGATCTCGTGCGTTTGCTAGGTTCTCCTCCGGTTCCCATGTTGCTTCGCAGTGTAGAAATCCTTTCCACTTCACATGGAACTCTCTCACCTCGCGTCCTTGTCGCTTGCTCTTGCGCGCATTGAGGATGGCCTCGACTTCGTATTCCTCTTCCCCTTGGATAACCTCAGGTAAAGGTCTCACTTGGTCCTTGCGAAGCGGATCCTCAAAGTACGGCTTGAGTAAGTTCACGTGGAACACTGGGTGCATCTTCCCCATCTCTCGAGGAAGTCGGAGTCGGTAAGCCACTTTACCGATTCGTGCCTCAATCTCGTAAGGCCCCGCGAACCTGCTTAAGGAACTCAAGATCAATTCATTTACGGGAATACATGCATCTTTACCTTTGGGTCAACTTTCGGCTGATCCCACTTGGTAGTCTGAGGTTCTTGGTGTTCAGCCACACCTTCTCCCCAGCTTGGAACTCTACATCCCGACGCTTCTGGTTCGCGTATTTGGTTTGCCTTTGTTGAGCCCGTTCCAAGGAATCCCTCACTAGATTCCAAATGTTGAGTCTTTCCGCCGTGAATGCCTCCACCGCGGGCAACTCTCCATGATACTCGGCCACGCCGAGTTCCACAGGACCTTCAATAGCTCGCCCATTGATGACTTCCCATGGACTCACCCCGATGCTTGAGTGTGGTGAGTTGTTATAACACATTTCCGCAAGTCCCAAATGACTTACCCAGTCGGTCTGGTCTCCCGAGACATAGCATCGCAAATAATCCTCCAGCTGCCTATTCACCCTTTCCGTTCGTCCGTCTGTCAAGAAGTGTTAGTGCCATCAATCTTGACTTAATACCCATTACCTGTCTGTGGGTGATAGGCTGTGCTGAATTTCAATTTGGTGCGATACTGTTCTAGGAGTGTCCTCCAGAACCTACTAGTGAAGATCTTATCTCGATCTGAGATAATCTCTTCCGGCCTTCCCCGCACTCGAACCACTTGTTCAAAGAACAGCTTCGCCACACCTTCCGCATCCACGTCCGTTGTGGTGGGTATGAAATGTGCCATCTTTGAAAATCGGTCCACCACCACGAATATCGCATCAAACCCCTCGCTTGGGGGTAGTCCCGTGATGAAGTCCATCGTAAGACATTTCCACGGGCGATCTGGAATTGGGATGCTTTGTAACAAGCCCCCACTAGCCTTAGTCACGGCTTTGACCTGCTGACATGTTGGACATGTCTTTACATAGTCTTGGACGTCCTTAGCCATATCTGGCCAATGGTACTTCCTCTTGAGTAAGCCCATCGTCTTGGGC